TTAAAAATATATATAGAATAGTTATCCTTATTTTAAATGAACTGTAATTATAAGATATAACTATACTATTAGAATTCTAAGTAATAAAATATCATATTTAGTATAGTATTCTATTTAGCATGAAATCTTTATTCACACTCCCCCTCAAGTTGGCAACTCCCCCTCAAGTTGGCGCAAAAATATCACATGCCCAATTTATAAATCAAGTTCAGAAAAGATTTATTGTATAATTCTTTAGTAAAAATGTCAGCCACCTGATTACCAAAAGATACATGATATAAGCATAAAGAGCCACCAACCACCTTCTCTTTTATGAAATGTCGATCAATCTCAATGTGTTTTGTTCTGTCATGTTGAATTGAATTATGAGCAATGTTAATAACTACTTTTTTGTCACAAAACATGAATAGTCTCTCCTCTTTAAACAATTTTAACTCATTGATTAGTTTTTGCAACCATAATAATTCACATACTTCTTAAATCATTGCTCTATATTCTCCCTCAGCATTGGAGCGGGTAACCACACTTTATTTCTTACTTTTACATGTGACCAAATTGCCTCCTACAAGTGTGTAGTAACCTGTAGTTGATCTTTTATCATTTAGAAACCCAGCCCAATCGGAATCTGTAAATGCTTCTATTTTAAAGTGACCATGTATAGAAAAGAACAGACATTTTCCTAATGTAGACTTCAGATATCGTAATATGCGGAAGACAATATGTAAATGAGTCTCACGAAGGTTATAGATATACTGACTCACCAGACTAACTGCATATGTTATATCAGGTCTGATATGTGAGAGATAAATGAGTCGTCCAACTAGTTTCTGATATCTTCCCAAATCAACTGATGTACCACTACCTGCTTGTAGTTTGTAGATGCTCTCAATAGGTGATTCTGCCGGCTTGCAACACATCATACTAGTCTCCTCTAGTAAGTGTGGAATATATTTTCTTTGAGAAATGAAAATCCTTTTATTGGACCTGACAACTTCAATTCTCAAGACATATTGTAATTTTCCTAAATCATTTATTTCAAACTCTTGAGTAAGAAGTTACTTCAATCGAGTCATCTCCTTTGTGTCACAAAGTATGATCAACATTGCTTTGTTGATATCCAAAAGAGATCATAACTCTTCTAAACCGTTCAAACTATACAATTTGAGACTGCTTCAATCCATAAAAAGCCTTTTTTAATTGGCAAACTTTTTCTTGCATCCTCTCATTTTCAAATCTAAGGGGAATTTTCATGTACAGACTTTCTCTAAATCTCCATGGAGGAATGCATTTTTTACATCAAACTACTGTAAATCTCAATCAAGGTTAGCTGCATAAGACAAAAGTATCATAATTGTGTTCATCTTCGCAATAGGGGCAAATGTCTCCTGATAGTCAAATCTATAGGTTTGAGTAAATCCTTACTACCAATCTAACTTTGTACCTTTCGATCGATCCGTCTGCTTTGTGTTTTACGGTGAACACCCATTTGCAACCAACTATTTTTTTTTCCCTGTGAATGTGAAACAAGTTCTCATGTTTCATTCTTTATCAATGTTCTTATTTCTTTAATAATGGCTTCCTTCCACTTCAGATCTCCTAGAGCTTCTCTCCAATTCTGTGGAATAGACACAGAGGAAATAAAGAAGACAAAAACTCTATAGGAAGGAGATAGAGAGTTATAGGAAACAAAATTAGATATAGGGTGCTTAGTGCAAGTTCTCGTTTCATTTCTAATAGCAATAGATTTATTTGATAAATCACAAGAGAAAGATAACTCACCAGTATCTTTTGGAATCAGAGAAGATTTTTAACATGGGACAGACTGCATGATGGCTTTTTCAGACTTCTCTCTCCTTGAATACCTTTTCAAGTTTGATTTATCCAGATGTTCAACATTATCTTCTTGAATAAGACCTTTTGCAATAGAATTCTCCTCCTGAATATGATTCTCAATTGTTACCCAATTAGGTATCACTTCTTCCTTCTTACTCTCCCCCTGAAGAGGTGTTGAGTTTGAGTTGAAATAAGACTCGTTTTCCCTAAAGGTAACATCCATAGTTCGAAAGTATTTTCTAAATGATGGATGCTAATACTTGTAACCTTTTTGGGTATAAGAATATCTAACAAATATATACTTAAGAGTTTTAGATTCTATCTTTCCCACATTTCTAGAATGAACAAAGCACACACATCCAAATACTTTTGGGAGAACAATATAGGAATTTTTTCCTTATAAAACCTCCATAAAACTTTTAAAATTCAGGACCCGCAAAAGCATTTTATTGATAAGATAGACAATTGAGATAACGGCATCTCCCCAATAACTCTTTGATAGATTCATGGTGAATATTAGCGACCGATCTACCTCCAGTATGTGTCTGTTTTTCCTTTCAACAATCTTATTTTGTTCACTAGTGTAAGCACAACTTATCTGATGAATTATCCTATTTGACCCGAGGTAGGCACGGAACCCACTATCCATATATTTTATACCATTGTCAGTTCTCAAAATCTTAATTTTAGCATCAAACTATGTACATATCATTTTATGAAATGATTGAAAACATGAAAACAAATTACATTTTGTTTTTAACAGATAAATTCATGTTAATCTAGTGCAACAGTCAATAAAAGTAACAAACCATCTATGACCAGAAAGAGATCTATTCTAAGTAGGTCCTCACACATAAGTGTGAATAGTCATAAAATGATCAGTACTTATATTATTACTTAAATGATAAGAATTCGTTTTATGTTTAACAAGTTCGCATGAGTCATAAAACAAAAACTCCATAAAAGTTATTTTAAATAAATTAAAATATAATTTTTCTAAAATAAAAAAAAGATGTCCCAATCGTTAGTGTCATTGTAGTATCTTCATATTGACTTTTTTATTCCCAATAGTTGTTTGATTTTCAATTAAATTTTGATGTTTATTCAAGATATATAAGTCATCTTGCAGTTTACTAGTGTCAATCCTCTTCTCGGTTTGAAGATCCTGAAAGATGCAATGATTTAGAAAAAAATCAATTTTACAGTCGAGATCTCTGATTATGGCACTAATAGATAAAAAATTGTTAGAAAAACTAGGCACATATAAAATTTAAAATAGTGTGATAGCAGGAGTATAACTAATAGAATTTAATTCCCGATACAAGGGTGTATGACCCATCTATTATATGGATATTATCCCCTTCAGTCTAAGAAAATAGGTTAAGAATTCTTTAGAAAAATTTGTCATATATCTGTTAGATCAAGAGTATATAA